TCATCTCCAGAGGAGCGAGGAAGAGATAAGCGGAGGAGATTGGCACCTCCCTGAGAAATACTATCGGTATGAACTGGCTGAGCCTGGGAACTTTACAGGAAGATTCCTGTAAATGGGTTGTAGCTAATAAACCTTGCTGGATAATTTCTGTATGGTCTCCTGGATTTCCTTGGGCTAGGCCTGACACTTACATACAAATTTGACTTAAGGACAGACCTTGGGAATGGAACTCGTTCTTAAACTGGGGACTACCTGTATCCACTTGGGGGCAGTCAGTGAATTTTTTTCCCCACTGTAATTACCACTACTAAGTTCATAAAGATTTGCACAAAAACACCATGACATAGCTATCTGAAAACTGATGGTGCAATTTTACGGGCAAACACTATCTAATTCTGTCTAAAAGGAACAAAGTTACAGATGAAGTTGTAAAATAATAATTTTAAAAAATGAAGGAGCTGAAAAGCCTACGTTATTTCTCTAAAATTGGGCAGTCAATCTCCCCTAACCATTTAATGTTTCTGAGAATTTGTCAAAGCTATAGGTGTTTGATTTGCATACAAAACACAAAACAGGAATCACAAAACATGTCTTCGATCCAGCTCGGACATGAAGGTGGCAGCATTTGACCTGATGGGAAAGTGGTCACTTTCCCAAGGCTCTGAATTGTGTTCTCAACTGAATTTTGAGATCCATTGCATACCTCTAACTTGAATCATCCAGGCTTCCATATCCTTATGCAATTTTTGTCACACAAATATGATTCAGCTGGAAAGCAGGTAACTTTTCTTCATAAATTATTTCTAAATACAACTGCAAGATTCTTTCAGATTATCCAAAATAACAACATTTCCTCCATACAGATTAATCAACTGGGGATGTACCCTGAAAATGCAAGAAAAACCATTATGATCATATTACTGTTTTATTCTATCTGAACATGTACTTATAAAAATATCTACTCTATAGAAAATAAATAGAAAACAAATTAATTTTACCTATAGTCCTCTTCATACAAATGGGAGTCTGCCTTATTTGTATGTGTGCAATGTTAGTGGAGTATTTGTGTGTAATTTATTTATGTAACAAGTTGAGGAACTGATGGAACCAAAGCATGGATATATTGCTGAGTTGCAAAGAATCTGATGGCTTTTGTGTGTTTTCATATATATCAACATGTAACTCAACTAAAACTGGATTAGCTTTTCTAAGACCCACCCCTTGGACAAAATTCAAAATCTAATATTGGTTTCCCTGTCTTGCTAAGTTTTGGTTGAAGGTTTCTCCTTGCAATTGCAACACAGTCACATGAGAGCCTATCTCAGCATTCTGATAGGCTTTAAACCGAAGGCAGTAAATATACATAATGTCAGTCGGGAGTGCAGTTATCTTCAAACAGATTTCCAACCAGCAAGGATATACAAAACATGGCATTTGATTTAAACTATCCATAGGAAATAGTACTGAGATATTTGACACTTGATATTAAGTTCTAAACTGACATTTCCAATATATGTGTCATAAGGGACTGACATGCCAGCATCTCTTGCATAATCTGGCACACACTGAAGCCATATCTACAGAATGGAAGTCTACAGATTACATTTCGATATATCTGTTTATATGCAAATGTGACATACAAATGTCAGGTGGAGATAGGCGTGATTATGTTTCCCCATTTTGTCATGCTCTTTGCATCAAATGTAAGATTTGTCTATGGTTCTAGAAGAGAAGGAGGCATCATACAGCAGTGGCAAGACAACTACATTACTGTGAAACTTTAAGGAGACAAGCCACTCAAATATTCCAACATTCTCATTGCTCCAAGTAATGCATCCTGAATAGATCTGCTAAGTGCAATTATTTTTCTCAAACCTCTGCAAGAAATTAGAACCAAACACAGGATCAATGTGAATTTTCTGATTGTCCAGTGTAGAGTGTGAAAATATACCATGCAAAGCTTATGCTAAACTAAAAGGAATTACCAATATTTGTAGCTCAGACACAACTAAATTTAATCCTACCGAATATGAACTTCTTTTGCCCATTCCACTAAATCTCCATCTATGTTCCAAGGATAGCTCTTTTCCTCAGAATCTGCACAGCTCAGATTATCTCCAGTGATACATTTCTTTCCAGTTCTTGGAAGGACTTTTACTTCTTCAACAATATACGTTTCAATAAAAGGAAAGTTGAACTAGAATACAAAGCACAAATGCAACAGTTGAAAAATGTAGTATCTGCAAAGGACAGGATTCGTCACAACCCTGTGCTTTCATTTACTAATACTAGGAGAGGAAAGGATCCATCTATGGGCATTTTAGCACTCTTACAGAAAATTGGAGTGGGCCTTGGAGAAGGGCATTTGGAAAACAAAGTTTTAATTTTTAAAAATTCTTTTACATTTTGCTATGTAATTTTTATTTTTCTGTTATTTGCCACCCAGTCTGTAGGACTGTTAAATAAAGAAATAAAACTTAAATTATATTCTCACAAAAAACATCCCAGGAACATGTATATGCTTATTTCTGCCAAATCCAACTGGATGGTTGACCTTCCTTAATTCAGCCCTGGATACCAGGCTTGTAGTATTGAGCCATTAATCTGAAACCATGCTGAGTACTCATAACTCCTAATCTATATTTCCCAAACTATGAAGGGATGTTCCTCGGCATTTGTAAACTAGGTATTATGATACATGAGTAGATACCCTCCCATTGTGAGAGTATGATCAGAATAAATAGGATCAGACCCTTCCTACCTCCCCCTTCAATCCAGATATACTGCCTTCAATAAATGCTTGGTGGAGGTGTTTGCTGTCATGTTTTGTATCACTTATCCTGGAATGTGTTTACATGATTGTGGTAAGCCATAATCTCTGAGACTCTCTCTTTTGGTTCCTCCTACCACTGGCAGCAACCTAAAAACTGTGGAAGCTCAAACTATGTTTTCTTCATCACAACATGGCTATCTATTTCAAACAATCCCAGAATCAGAAGCCAAGAACAAATCAAGACTTCTACCTTGACTGGTTAGGAGAATGATAAGCTGGAGTACCTGGTTCAGGTATCAAAATAAAAAACCATAGAAGAAAAATCAATGGTTTGTCTAGCCACTCCCATTGTCAGGAGGAGCCACATAAGAGCAAATCTAGCTAACTGTGGATATGTATAAGTGAGAATAAAAATTAAAAAATACTATCCACAAAATTTAACAAATCGTGTTACAACATGTAACAAGTCTCCTCTTGCCCTAAATATAGCACAGTCTATATTTAAATACAGAATTTGGGATTAAAAAAAATCAGTTTAGCAGATTTGCACTGTAGTACCTCCTGTATATAAGAACTATTTATAATAAAACTACAACAGATGGACAGAAATAGGCTAATCGGCCTTAGTCTGGTGATTTTCAAAAATCAGAAAAGGTAGGCTAATGTATTCTGACAGGAAGTTAAATCTCTTTACAAAAGCATTAAAAACTTCTATCATGAATTTACTTCCACCTTAAATCTTTGTCTGGTTTTATTACATTATATTTTAAATCCTGTGACTTTTCCTCCTCATCCGCTTGTTTCTTTCTGTGGCTTTTGGTGAAAGCAATTGCTAAGAAAGTCTAAACCAAATAATGTCAGGTTGCAAATGCAAGGGTAACCCTTTACCTGGTTTTTCACACTAGCATATCTTTTCAAATGTTTAATGAATTCTTGCCGGGAAGTGTTCCTTACAGTTATAAGAGCTATGCTTCCATCATCCAATCTAGAAATGACACAGTTCAATTAAGCATGAATTAAACAATGCAATTAACAATGAATAAATCAAAAGAATATACAGTATTATTCAGGAATCTACCTGAATAACCCAAGCATTTCATCTCTGCCTTTAAAAGTAAAATAATCAATATTCAATGCATGACACTGGTACCCTTAGCTGTTCCCAGAAAATACCTCCAACAGAATCAGCATATGACAATATTTGTAGCTGTAGCCTTCCTTGGAATGGCAGCCAGTATCAGGTAGGACTTGGATCCAAAGAGATGCAGGGAGAACTGTGCCTTGTCTTAGCTTATTTTAACTTTGTAGAAACAGTAAGATTTTTTGCAAGTTCATTCTAAGGATAACTAAATACAGGTGCTTTTATTGTTAAGAGAAATTATACTGCTATTTCAAATTAGTTGTATTTTATTTCCCATTCATTTATTTCTTTTACCCTAAAAATGATATGTTTTTTAAAAGAAAGTAATTAAAAGCCAGCCAGCAGAAATGTTTGATAATGTATTTAGGAAATTCTCTTTCGAGAAAGTCCAGGCAGCTACCAATTACGAGTAATAATTGACTCAGAGAGGTCATAATATCACGACACTCACTAAATGGGAAGATGCTGTTGAACCAGTTATCTAGTTGCTTTCCCCTCTTAGAGGTATGAACTTCCTTTATGAAACTAAAGATTTATGTGTTATGTGGTAAGAATGCTGCAGGCCACACTGTGAATTCCTAAAAATACATTTAAGGACCACAAGGCTTAATTCTGACAACTTTAGTTTAAAATGTTATTATCCAACATAGGTTACATTTAAATAATTATACATCACACACACACATACATATATATCCCTAGAATTCAACATTTGAAAAGTATTTTATGAATATATACACATGATTAACACACACATCATCTGTCAAAAGTAAGAATCATGATGAAAGGCGTGAAACTGATATATTCAGAGGGAACTGTAAGTTGTGGAAAACCTTGATATTACACATTTTATCAGATTTTGAGCTGTCTTAGATGCCACAAGTTGCATGCCAGGATATTAAGCGAACCCCAAGTCCTCCAGATTTTGCAGCCACCTGCAACAAACCCAGTGAATGCATGGAAAGTATGGAAGATTTATTATAATTATTACTACTACTACTATTGCTCATATATTTCTTATGAGGGAAGCAACAAAGATGTGAAGAGCTGGGGATAACTCTAAGTGTAACTGGTATATTTTAATGCACAATTAATTAAAATAAATTTATCCCCTCACCACCTTTAGAATCTTTTTCTGTAACCCCATTCTCTTTTGCATAGTTATCCCTAACCATGAAGTTCAAAGGCTGGTGCAGCTTTTAGCCTAACCAAAGTTATGCAACTCTGAATTAAGGTCCTGCATCTCCACAAAGTTGAAACATTAAAAGACCTCTCACATTATTTGTTTCATTTTTATAGGTTTAGATTAGGATGGAGACTCCTGGGTCTTCATGATTTTGAGACTTCCTACCCTCTGACTATGACATTTAGGGCTGCTAAAAGCTATAGTTTAGTGAAGCCCGGAGGGCCACAGATTCCCATTGCTTGCTGAGATATTGGCAAATCATTTAAAATTAAAAAGAGACCACAGGAATCTAGGAGCTGAATTAGTATGTTTTATAAATGTCAAAGATCCCATAAAAATAACAAGAGATTCTGGTCTTTCATTTTCAATTTGGTTTGCTTTTCCTCATGCCTGCACGTTTTCACTCTAACACTTATATTTAGCCTTTGCAATACAATTTAGCCTTTACAATAACTGAATTTAATCAGTCAAAACCAAAGGACTAGATTTCCCCATTAACAAACCCCAAAGGAGATTATTACTTGATGACTACCACTTAAGTCAGACTTCTAAGATAATTTAATCACTGTAATTATCCAATGATTATTCTAGATGGATGACCTCATCTGCCTGAACCTAAACTGATTACAATTCCCAAGGATGCAGAATCAACCATAGTCCAATTTTTTTCATCATGCTTTCCAACCCTGAGGTTCTAGACTGCATGCAATCTGAGAAAGCCAAGCTTTTGGAAGAAGGTGTTAAGGACAGTACTCTAATTTCACAAATCCTTACTGACCTGGTATTAGGTGCCAAGCCTCTCGGTGCCACTGAACAGAGACAAGGGATTGCCATAATGCTCACGTTCAGGAAGTGACCCTGGATTCTGTGCCATTCATCCTTGCTGTCTAAATATAACATACCATATTAACTTCAAGCAATCCTAATTACCTTCTACAAGTGGTTAAACTTGCAGACTTACCTGATTTAAGTCTCCCTTGCTTCCTTCTAAAAATAATAATAAATTAAAAGTCACTAAAGGATGACAAAATAAATAATAAAATACAGCTTGCTCGCCACGTTGCGAAAACAAATTAAACATGTAACACTGAATAAAAGAAGGCAAAAATGAAAAAAAAGCTTTAAATCCTATATTAACACTTAATTGGAAAGCACATTTCATTGTTGAAGTAAATTATTACTTTTGATTCATATTTTCAGACAAAATATACTAAAAGTAACCTACTTATAGCAAAATCTAAATGAAAAAGAACTCCTTAATATTTCCTTTAGATATTTTTAGTTAGCCCCTTTGGGAAAACATTTTCAGTTTGCTGCCCAATGCTACAGTCTTAATCTAATCAACATTGGCAACAGTAAAATGATACTGAAACCTTCATACAATAGTTAAATTAATCAGAATTAATATTATGGGCTAAATGAAGTTTTGCATTCATCAACTTCTGACTAGTTTACTTACTGATTATTTTCTTGTGCATCTTGCTGTAAATGCTTCAGTGGGAGGAACAATAATTCACAATCTTCTGGTCTAAGGACAGAACAAGATTAGTTCCATTCAAAGAAGTATATAGAACATATATATCTAGGTTTGAATATTTAACAGTATATTACAGAGCTTACACTAGAATGACCACAGGAAGAGAAAGTATGAGCCCTGTATGAATAAAGTATTAGAAGAAAAATTAACTCCTTCTCTCAACAGAATGAATGAAAAGTGAACATAAGAGAAGATCTGGAAGTTGCTTGGAACACAGTGAATTATGTTCTGCTAATCAGAAATATGAAAAAGAATGCTTGGTGGAATAAAGAGTTGAAAGAGGCTTTGGTTGAAAAATTAAGCAAGTAACAGAATAACTTCCAAATATGAGGATGAGAAAAATTGTGTAACAGGTATATAGAAGAAAAGACAGTGGAAAAGAATTTGGTCAAAGAGAGCAAGGAATGGTTAAAAATTAAAAGGGAGAAAAAATGTAGAGCAATTTTTTTTTTTAATGGAAGCATGTCAAAGGGCTAAACAAGGAGCCCCCAGCACAGTGAATGTAATAAAAACTAAAAATGATTAAATGGTGTGAAACTAAAGGAACGGTAGAAGTATTTTAGAGATTTGTATGGGAATGATAGTGACATATTGAAGAGCGGGGTTGAAATAAATGCTACATTAGCACCCAAGAAAAAATAACACAAAGGAAATAATAAAGGATGTCAGTTTGTTGAAAAATTATAAGGCGTTATTGTTTTTCTATACAGAGAGAAAAGCAGCAAGAGTGTGCAAAAACTATGGGGAGATTAGTTTGTTAAGTCTCCTTGAGGTGTTTGACAGAATTCTGATTAAAAAGTGTAAGATCTGATAATGACCAAAATTTGGGAAGTTCAGTGTGTCTTTATGTCAGGGTAGCACAGGGCAGAGTTTTACTCTTAAGCAGGTCACTGAGAAATATACTGTATGAATGTGAAAAAAGAAGTTTACTGCATGTTTGCTGATTTACAGAAAGTAAATGATAAAGCAAACAGGCTTGAAATATGGAATATTTTGCAAGAGCAGTATACAACGAAAGTAAAATATCTGTGAGAACAAATGGAATGCTTAGTGAATGATTCAGCAATGAGTAAGGAGTAAGACAAGGGTGTGAGATAACCCTTTAGTTATTTAATGTATTATGGAGAGATGTACAGCAAATGCCTATGTGTTGTTGTTAGAGATGTGTTGACTGGGTATGTGAAGGTACGGAGATGATGCTGGACTGTTGGCTGAGAACACAAATGATTTGCAGTGAATATCAGACAAATTGTATGATGTGACCAGGAGCAATGGATCTAAAATTAATGTACTAAAGACCAAAGTTCTCATGTTTGGAATAAATATTTGTTAAAAGTGGCTAAAATGACTTTGTTTAAAAATGTGCTTCTGCCCACTTTGTTATACAGAAGTGAAAGAGAATGGTTATGGCAGGAAAAACATAAAAATCAGCAGAATGTGGTGCAAATGGGTATTTAAGAAGTGTATAGTAAAAGAAAAGATAGGGTCAAGAATGAATACAGATTGGAAGCAAAAGTGACTGACAAATATGAAAGAAGTCTGTTGAGGTGGTTTGATCATATAGAAAGAATGAATGAAGATCAAACCACAAAACAAATATAGGAAGTTAGAGTGAAGGGATCCAGGAGAAGACCAAGACAATCACTGTATGAATGGGAGTTGACAAGATCCTCGGGAAAAGAAAAAAGAAAAAGAAAAAAAAAGAAGATTGAAGAAAAGGCAACCATTTTTTGAATGTGGTGGAAGAAAGGATGAGCTATAGGGACAGAAAAGTATGGAGTGATATACTGAATGGTACTGTAAACTGTAAACTAGATATAGTTAGATTTCTTCTTCTTTTTTCTTAGCTCACTACTTCTCACCTGTATAACACAGCTTACTGAAAAGGGAATGGTGTGATGGGGGTAGACAGACAGATGGATAGATAAATGGGAACACTAACTTTAGCCACTAACCTATGCGGCAGAGACCCTTGTAGAGAGAGAAGTAAGGAGCCGACTAGAAAGTAACAGAAACTCTCCAAGATACAGAGAATGTTCTGCAGTTTATTCTTCTCAGTCCCTTAGGAATAGGGGTTGAAAACAAAAACAGACCCTTTGAAGCCTCAGCAGTCCAAATCAAGAACTCAAAGTAATACCCAAAATAAAATATCTAACCAAGGAAGTAAACAGATCTGACAGCAGCAGTTTGAGGATTGTTCACCTGCTCTCACACCAGCACTGTCAATACGTCTTCCTTACCTGAATAGTCTCTGACCCCTTCCTTCCCTCTGAGTAAGGCTTTCTAGTGTGAGGAACTAGCTTTCTTCTCTCTGCCTGGGCAATGAGCTGAGTCCCAACCAGGCAACATAGAAGGGTGGGGGAGTTTATTTATACAGGCCTGATAAAGATAATCCAGCAGGTGCTTTCTCTGTAGGCTTCTTTTTGTCACTCTCTGACATCTGCCATCTCCCTCAACCTTCTTCTCCAACCCTCATCCCTGTGCTTCCTTCAGAGCAGCCTTATGCTTAGCAGGCACTTAATCTGCAGGCACTTATGCTTACTCACAAGAAGGCTGGTGTTTTCTCTTCATCACAACCTAAACTACTGTTATTTTAGATTTTTGGAAATTGCTAAAATTAGAATCCAAATAATCTAATTTATATAGCAATACTGTTTTTAAAAAATCCTAGATTAACACAAAAATTATTTCAAATTCATCTTACTTGAGGCTTGCTAGTGTCTTGATTACAGCAAAATCTTTACGCTGCTTTGATGGAATCCAACGATGCTTTTCAGCCAAAGCTAGAGTCCTTGATCCAAAGCCAAACATAGAAGAGAATCCAAAGC